CCTGCAGGCCGGGCCCAGGGAGAGGAGGGACATTTCCAGGGAGCAGCACCCCCACACGCAGGCCGCAGAGACGCCGTTCCCTGCCTTCCAGTCGCAGTCTGGGGAGGTTTTTAATGAACCTGATGTCTTTGCCACAGCTCCTTTCCGCAGCTCCAGGAAAGCACCTGATGAGGCAGACGTCTTCACCAAAGCTCCTTTCATCTCCAGGAGCAGTGCGGCTCTCCGACACTCAGAGGAAGCAGATGTGTTCCTCAGAGCCCCTTTCACCAAAAAGAAGAGCATGGAGGAGTTGTTGTCTCACAGTGTGCCCAAGGAACCGCACGTGTTCCTCAGCCCAGCAGCTGATGTCCAGCACAGAACCACCCCTGCTTTCCAAAGCCTGGATGCGGTGGTCTCCGGGCCATCAGCAAGGCTGCAGTATCCTTCCGGCTTTGGTCTGCTGAGCAACCTTCCTCCTTCTGTGAGAGCAACAGAGGAGCACAGCCCTCCTCCAGCCATGCAGCCGGAACCCGGTGAGCGCAGCCCAGCCCAGCCCAGCCCTCAGGAATGCATGCTGGGCCCAGTGGCGAACAGTCGGCCTTTCCGTCCGCAAGCCTTGTCCAAGTACTCCCGTCACTACAGCCCGGAAGATGGGCCTGGTCTCGACGTCCAACCCATCGCTGCTTACAAAGTGGTTTCTCAGACCAACAGGCAGGCCATAGCGGGCTCTGTCTCCCTTGCCCCGCTGGCTGCCAGGACTACGGAGCTGCCCGCAGCCGATCCTTTTGCTTCAGCACCATTTCCTTCCAAAGCAGCAAAGCAAAAGCCTTAATGTGCTGTGAGCTGGGGGTGTTCCCAGCAGAACGCTTCCCACAAGACCTCAAAACTCTTTGTCGAATTGGTTGGCATATATTATATATGTGTGCCAACACATATATAATTTTTCATTCAGAACTCTATTTGCAGTGATATAGTAGAACCGTTTTAAGTTATGTTAGCTAGTCGGAATGCCTGGCTCTCAGGATCCTCATATCCTCTTCAGTTACTTCTTTTCTTCCTCCTCTCACTGCCTTCCCCAAGTTATTTTGTCAGCAATATGCCATACCTTCTGGCTCTGACTAGGGAAAGGCACTGTAAGGTTAATTAACTGGCATTTTAATTACAGAGCAAGTCAAGTGGGACTGGCTGGTGCTATGGCAAGGAAGCTATTTCACAGGTTCAGGGCTTATAGAGATTTCCCATTAGCTGGGGCTTCTGGAGGACAGCAAGGTGACACTTCTTGCTGCTGATGGTGACAGTGAGCCTGGCAGCTCCAGGGTATGTGTGTCATGCATGAAGTCAGTCAGTGTCTTCTGTTGCTTGTCTTGCTCTGCTCTGTTGCAAATGCTCCAGATTAGGAATTAAAGCTGCAGGAAAGAGATCTGTTGGGCTGTTACATGGAAAATTAAAAGATCAAGAGTGTGGGATTTCCCCGAATGTAGGACCCAGAAATCTGCTTTTGGTGTTGCAAAGGAGAGTATGTGAGTATGTAAGTCCTGTGTAAGTCCTGTGGAAAAGCGTATTGTGAGGACACCTGGATGGCTTTCCTGGTCTGTTTGTCTCACTTGGTGTAATTTGGCCTTGTCTGCAGTCTGGTTCAGCTGGTAGATGCCAGCAGAGAGCTTGACTTTGGGTTTATCATTTTGACCTTTTATCAACTAAGATGACCTCCAACAAAATCTGTTCATGCTCCTCTGGGAATATTTGGTGTTCTTTGGATATCTTGTGCTTCCTGCTGTGTTCCCAAAGAGAAAGGCAACTTGTTGCTGATTGTTCTGCCTTTGGAGCAGAATCCTGATGCTGTGTTTGGTGGAAAAATAGTGCTATCCCTGGCCAGCAAAGGCTGTAAGTGTGGGCTGCTTTCAGGTTATCTAGATGTGGGGGCTCACAGTCGCTGTGTGGTGTTCCAGTGTCAGGCATTGGTGCTGCAGGATGTCTCCCAAGAAAAGTGTTTCATTTTCATTTTCAAGGGCTTGACATCTGGGGAAGAATCTCTGACTCTGGTAGTTTCTACTGAATCCCTTAGAAACTTTGCAGTGTCTGTTTCCTGAGGGAATTTGATCCTCATCCTGTTAGGTCAGAGCTTTGCACTGAGGACTGAGGGCAGAATTCCCTTTTGCTGGATTACGGCCAGCAGGAAGGGGAGGGTGGAAAAGCCCCAACCAGCAGGAGGTGGAGAGCAAAGCACAAGTAGAACCCCAATGTCGGTTTCCCTCCAATATCTCCAGTTGCAAGAGGTGAGCCAGTGCTGCTGCTGGGTGTGTTCAACCTTGGGATTGCTGGAGGGCAGGGAGAAGTTGGGACACCTGAGAGCAGGAGGGCTGTGAGGGTGCTGTTTTCCTGTGCTCCTCCACCAGTGGTAGTAGCAGTAAATATTGTAGGGAGATTTCTGGGTTCCATGGAGATGTTTTCAACTGAGCTGAGGCTGTTGTTGATGGTGTTTCCTTCTCGTTGGGTTTTCCCATTCGAATATATCCCCAAAAGTGCAAGGCATTGCTATGTGCGAGTTCAAGGTATTAGCTCTGCTAACTGGATTTAGGTTCTCTGCTTTTCTTCAGTTTTTACTTGAAAAGTTGCCTTTGAATCAATCTGTGAAACTTCCTACAATGCCACATCCAAGTTGCACTTAAGAAAAATAAAATTTAGAAGTAGCATAGCTGGAGAAGCATTCACCCACTGTCCAGCTCTTGCCCTTCAGACCTTGCTGCCCTGCACTGCCACAGGATGAAGGGACAGAGCGCATTCAAGTTGAGTTGGGCTGGATTTCCAGCTGGGATTTTGGCAGTGGATATTCTGCAAGCACTTTACACAGTGCCCCACAAGCTAACAAGCCTGCCAGCTTCAATGGTTTTACATGTACTTTTGGGGTTAGAGGCAGCTTTTTTGCATCTCTGCCTGTGACTTATTAAGGAATGGGACTTATGGTTGTGGTCAGAAAACTGAATTTCAGTACAGTTTTTTTCTGTATAGCATTGTATTTTCTAATCTCCCGATTCTGCGTGGCCAGTATGGCAGCTTTAGCATGATGGATTATAATCCAAAATTTCATTTCTGTATTATGAAGCTGTTTCTAGTGAAGGTGGAATGATTGTGCTTATAGTTTTCTTTACCACCTTACTGGTGCTGTTAATTAAATGAGCCTGGTATGGCTTAAATGCAGCATTTTGGGGTCAATTTTCTGAACAAAGCCACTGGTTCCACCTGTCCAGAGCTGTAGCATATCCTGCTCTAGGTCCTCAGAACACACCTTGGTCCTGCAACAATCGTAGACACAATTCTTCCTCATCGCCAACTGAATGTCAGCAATGCACTTAAGACATTAATCACAGTATCTGCATGCAAAAACAAAAAGGAAGAAGCATCATGCTGGGCTCTCCATGCCTCACTGCCACATTTGCACAACAGCATGGGGCTACTGAAGCTCACCTGTGGGAATGGTGTGCACAGAGCTCACATTGCATCAGCAATCATCCTCAGTGTCACTCAATCAGGCACAGCCAAGTGAGATCTGTTTAATTGTTGAATTCTCTATCACTCCAAAGTGGGAATTGGTTACTTTAACTCAGCTTCCACCAAAGACTTTTGTGTTGGGGAGTTGAATTTTTTTTTTTTTTTTCTCTGTGTTCATGATGTTAATTTAAGGCCTTTCAGTACACCAAAAGACTCCAAAGCATTCTTACAGCAGGTATCCTGATGGTGAAATCTTGTTCCTCTTCTGAAACACATTCCTGAAACCTGATCCAACGTGTCAGTATTCCTAAAATTATGCCACAGCCCGAAGTTTCCGTTGGCCATCATGTTGTTCTTGTCTGGGGGCTGGTGATGTCCTGGGGTCTCCTGTATCCATCTTAGGGGCTGGAGATGTTCTGGTATTCCCAGTCCCATCCTGGGACTGCTATGTGGGGTCCTCAGGTCCTATCCTAGGGCTGGTGATGTCCTGGGGTCCTCTGGCCCCATCCTGGGGCTTGGTGGTGGCTGGAGGTCCCTTGTCTTCATCCTTGGGGTTCTTCTGATCCCATCCTGGGGCTGGTGATGTTCTGGGATCCCCTGTCCCCATCCCAGGGGCTGGAGGTGTTCTGGGGTCCTCTGGCTTCATCCTGGAGCTGGTGCTGGCTGGGGGTTCCCTGTCCCCACTTGGGGGTGGGGTTTCCTGCTCCCCTCCTGGCGCTGGTGATGCCTCGGGTCTCAGATTTGTATGGCTGTGGCTGGAAATGGACGGAGTTGTGTTGTTGTTCTGGGTGTGATGTCTGTGTTCCTGGTAATCACTATGAAGAAATGGTCAAGCTGTAAACTTCTGTACATTTATTAAAGCTGTACCTGATTACAGCACTTTGTCCCTGTGCTGTCCTTCTCTCCTCTGTGTGCAGAATTGGGAAATAAAAGGTAAAAAGGGCAATATTGAGGGGTCGGGGGGACAGCATTGAAGGGAAAAGGAAATATTGAGGGTGAGAGATAAATAGGAAAAAATGAAATTTTCATAGAATTGAAGTTGAATAGAGTTGACAGGGACCCTCACAGGTCTTTCAGACCAACTCCAAATGTTGACTTAAATTAAAAAGAAGAAACTTGAAAAAAAGGAAAAAGTGAGGGGAAAAGAAATGATAAATTGAGGAAATAAAGAAATATCGAGGAAAAAAGAGAAAAAGGGGGAGAATGAAATACTGAGAGGAGAAAAAAAAATACAAACATAAAAAAAGGAAATACAGAGGGGCAAAAAGGAAATGGAAAAAATGAAATATTGAGGGGAAAATAGGAATGCTGAGGGAAAAGATTGCAAGGAAAAAGAGGAAATACTGGGGGGGGACGACACTTTTTTGCTCTCATGGTGAGTGGCTGTCCCTGACACCGCGGCGGAGCGCTCAGAAAGAATCAAGGGACCTGCAACGGCGCTGACGGGCGCGGGGGGCGCCGCCCAGGCGCGTTCCCGCCCGCGAGAGCCTCTGTCGGCCTTGGCCGCCAGGGGGCGCTGCAGTGCGCGGGGCGGAGCGGCGGCCCTGAGGAGCGCCAAGATGGCGGCTGCGCGGTGGCTCGGCGCGGCTGCGGGGCTGGGCGGCCGGTAGGTGACTGCGAGCACCGGGCTGCCCCGGGCCGGCGCACGGATCCCGGTGTGCGACCCTCATACTCGTTCCCTTCCTCTCTGAGCTCCCTGGGGCGCTCCGAGCTTTCTTGGCCTTCCCCTTCCCTGACGCAGCGGGGCGGATGTGGGTGAAGTTACGTCCTCCCCTTCCTCCTAGTTACAGAGGGGCAGTGAGGGCTGCTCCTCCCGGAATGCCCTCAGGGGTGTAAAATGAGAGCTCATCTCCCCAAAAACGCCCTCAGGAGCTGTAATGAGGGGCTGATACCCCCCGAAATGCCCCCAGGGGCGTGCAGTGAGGGCTGACCCCTCCCAAAAAACACCCTTAGGAGCTGCAGTGAGGTCTCATCCCCCCAAAAAATGTTGTGCAGTGTATGCTGATCCCCGCAAAATGTGCTCAGGAGCTGCAATGAGTGCTGATCCCTCCCCAAAACACTTTCAGGAGCTGCAGTGAGGGCTGATCCCCTGCAAATGTGCTCAGGAAGAGGTAGTTATTTCCCCCCGAGTTGTCTTTAGGGTGGTGCAATACTGAGACACCCTCCACCCCCCCGCCCCCAGGGCTGTGCACTGAGGGGAAATTCACAGCCCAGATGCACAAAGGACAGCTTAGTGATGGGCAAAGCCACTTCCCTGGGCAGGGGCTGTGAAATTAGAGGCAATCTGCAGCCCTGAATGTGGGAAATGAGGACTGTAACTAAGCATTTGGTAAAGGGGGGTTAATTCTTTCTTTTTCCCTACACAGATAAAAGCCCTTTACATACACCTATTCATATGTTTGTGCTCACTTAGAACATCAAATGTGTGATCCTGTGCCCATACCCTCCTGTTTCTGGTTTACCTTTCTCCTTTGTTTCTCTTAAAGGAGAAGCAAACAGGAGAGAGGATCATTCTGTGTAGTTTTCCTGCACGCAGTGGGGATACAGATGGTAAAAATCCCCTTTCTTTTGTCTGCTTTGTTTTACTTTTGGAACATTTGTTTCTCTGCTTTGGTTCTTTGGTTCTCCCAGAGCTGAAGGAGGAAGAACTGTTGGGAACACATCCCTTTGTGGACTCTGTATGCAAGTCCACACAGAAGAGGGGAGTTGCAGAATCATTTAGGGGAATCATGGGAAGGGCCTTTTGGACCTTTTCTGGATTTGCATCTCCCCTGTAAAGAAGTCAGAGAAGTTATTACTCCTTTTGCCACCATGTACAGCCACACAGCCTTCTGAATTTGGCTGTCCCTTAGCTCTCCATATCCCTGACTGGTTATGAGCTGAGTTCACATGTGAAAAGCAGTATTTGTATCCTGCTGGCTGTGCAGCAAGCATTTACGCATCTGAAAGCCACCTCTGTTGCTCTGTCATTCTCCTTGCTTGCTTCTCTGTTTTTTTTCCCTCTACTCCCCCACTAATGGCCTCTTGTAGTTGGTTGACAGTGATAGCAAATTCTGCCTTTACTTAGCAGTGGGTGGTTGGAGTTCATCTCAGCTGTCTGATTTTCTGAAAATGAGGTATTTAATCCAATCTGGACATCCAGGTTCATGGTAGCGTCAAAACGCTCTCATGGGGTGACCTTTCTTCTCTTACAGGTATGTGAAGGAGTATAGATTGATTTTTATGTGGTTGAAATTGAAGAATTAGGTCTGCTTTCTTGTGAAGTAGGAGAAAGGGAGAATTGAAAAATGAAAGAAAAAAAGGGGGGGTGCCACAGTCTGAGCTGCTGACTCACTTTGTTACTGGATAGGGTTGTGGTAGGAGGGGACTGTGCTGCGTTCTGGGCACAGAGGAATGCTGTGGGCTGTGCAGGAAGTACAGCCTTGTGATTTAGAAGCTCATAGTGATGTTATGATTTCTCTAGGATTTGTCACATGATGTTAAAAGGTCATAACCTGACAACTCAACAGCCCTTCCACCAACTTGCATGGAGGAAGCAGCTTCTTCCATCTGTAGTCTTGCATAATACAGGTAAATGCTAGCTAAAAATAATTACGGAGGGTGTTGTGGGAATCCATGTCTTGTGGCAATAACAAAAACCTAACTGTTCTTCTGAAATCTGAGCGTGATAAAATTTCCTGAGTTGTTTCCTGTGTGTTTTTAACGGAGTACTGTCAGTACTGGACATTTGAAGCCTGGCGAGAAGACATGCATGGCTCATTTTGTGCTTGGCTATACTTGTGTTCTCTGTGCTGTTCATCTGCCAAGACCTATGAGGTGCTTTGGTGTAAAATATTTGGGCTTTGCTGCACCTCTTAATTTAAATCTTGTCTTAGTGTAAATGCATCCCTTGTAAACACCCCTTGTAATGCTGTGTCCCACTTCAGCTGCTGAGCTCAGCAAGATGAAGTGTCCAGAAAGCCGAGCAAGGAAGAAAGTACAGTTTTCATTTCCAGAGCTGTGGTGCTTTCTTTAATTTCCCTCCCCTTCAATGTGTGCCCTTGTGTGGTGTGTTAATGACATTCTGCATTAATAACACCTGCAATGGTAATGTAGCATTACGCTGAAAAAGCAGTGGTTAGGGTGGGGTTTGTAATGCCTAACAGGTTTTTGGAAGCTCAACAGAAAGGAAAACAAAATCTGTGAAATGTGAGCGGTGGGCAGACACAAAGTGTTACAGAATTCAGCTGTGAACATGGCCAGTTCCCAGCAATACATTCTGATGGGGTTATTTACAGTTGTACAAAGAACTCCAGGTGGATTAATGATTGAAAAATCTGGCCATGGGAAGGCAGACCTGCAGCTGCAGAAGATGCTTATAAAATAAAGTGGTTACTCACATGGAGATGCCATTCTTAGGAGCTGACACAGCCAGCTGCGTTTCAGGGTGCTCGAGATGCTCTAACAAATGCAGTGTACTGAATATCCCCCATCCAAATCCCCTGCTGCAGGTTACCTGCAAGTTGAGCTGACAACCGGATGAGATTTTGGATGCCAAAGTGAGCAGAGCAGCTCTCCCATCCCTGTGGAATTGTCAAATCATTAAAGTTGGAAAAGAGCACTAAGATCATTCAGTCCAGCTATCAATAGTAGCTATTGTGTAAATGTTGTGACATGTCTGTAGGAAAACGCACTGTTAAACGTACACCATTAGACATAGAATGCTCATTTTTATTCAGATATTTTTATTCAGTTTTACACTCTTGTGTGTAAGGAACACCTGCAGCCCACAGTGAATTTCAGTAGAAATGTATCTTTTTAACACCTTTAGTAGAATCCAGCAATTGGATCTTCAGTTGTTGGTTCAATTTCTGCAGTGTAAGTGATAGCTTACAGTAATTCAGCCAGTGTGTTACAAACAGGGTGTGGTGTGCTGTAAATATAATGCTGAGAGACTGGGAAAAAAAAATACAGCCATACGCCATAGAGTGGCAGAATAGTGTAGGTTGGAAAGAAACCTTCAGGATCAACAGGTCTATGACTCAGTGCTACCACCTCGAAATCGTAGCCCTGAGTGCCTCATCCACATGGCTCTTAAATAGCTGCTGGTATACCTGAACACAGCAAGGAGTGAGCATTGCATCTCTTGGTCTCAGTAGAAAGTGAGGATGGCACTGAACCTTTGCAGCTTTGTATTGCTGCAGTCAGGTGCCTTTCAGTAGATAAGAGCACAAGAGGCAAAGATAAGGCTGCATTTATCTTGTTTCCTGTAAGATAATATGGCTCTGTTCATTGGTCTGAATGCTGTTGTGGTTTTTAATGCATCATTTTTGCACAAACTGCTGTGGTTGTTGCACAGTGACCACTCCAGTCTTTTCACTTGCTAGATAATCAGGATCCTTACCTTTCATTTAAGCTACTTACATTTGATTACATTAACTTTCCTCCTTTTTTCTTTTAATTTCCAGTAAGATGCATGTTTATTCAAACTCAGGACACACCAAACCCAAACAGCCTGAAGTTTATTCCCGGCAAAGAAGTGCTGGAGTCCAGGACTATGGAGTTTTCCAGCCCAGCTGCAGCATTTTGCTCACCTCTAGCAAGGTATTATTAAACACATCATAATTTGTATGGGGGACCATGCAGGCTGTGTTTCGACAATTAATGTTCTAAATGCATCCTGCACTCAGGAGCAGATTGGTTGGATTTTGTTTGTTGATGTTGCTTTGCTTGTACATAAAATTGAAGATAGTCATTGCCAAAGTGGTCTGTCTGTGCTCTTGGCTCTGTTGTATGCATCATGCAGCTGGATTGATTTATTCTAAGTCCAGGATTCTTGAATAGCTGCTGCATTGCCAGCGAGGCCTCTGGCCCTGATTTTGCACAACTGTTCCCACCAGAAGAGGCCAAATTCCAGTAGTTGCTTGGAAATGGTGTAACTTTTCAGGATTAGGAAACAGACAACCTAAGGAAGTAAGTAAATGCTCTAAATTAAATGTGGTTGCAGGTTTCAGTACCAGAATGCATAACCTGAAGTAAGAATCACCAAGCAGATAACCCAATCATACCACCTTGGTGTAGAAGGGATTTGGAGCACTGTCACAAAGGCCATTGCTTTCACATTCGCCTCCACAAACAGACTTTCCTTTATCTATTATGTGGGTGGAGAGGCATCGTTCAGAGTGAGATCCTGAAAGGCTGCAGTAAATTGCCCTGGGGAGTCCTCCATTAAGTCGTCGTTGTGTATATTAGAAGGACTGCATGCAAGCAAAAACTGCTTTGCGGGATCTCTGCAGGAAGTGTGGGGTTATCAGACATTCAGCTCAGACTTCCAAAGATCTCTGGTGCTGCTTGAGAGCAAACAGGATCTTTACAAGCAAAGCTTTGTGACTTATGAGCAACAAATCCAATGTGAAAGCTTTTCCAGGACATTAAAGTGTGTTACTACGATGCTGAATCTGTGGGATCTGATTGTGCCAAACTACATCAGTTTACAGAGCGCAAACAGTTCTGGAAAGGTGCCTTGATGTTGTCACATATCTGCAAATAGATTTTTCATCAAAGAGAAGATTTATGTAGACCCTGCCAACGGTTTTATGGTGTGGATTGTGCAGGTTAATAGGAAACAATTGTCCATGTATGCATTGTTCTTGGCTGGATGGTGTAAAAGCACCATGCGTGTCTAACTGCTTCATGTGTGGAAATCCTTTCCCCTGGGTATTGTGAATTTTTTTTTTTTTTCCCTGTCACACATACCTTTGTGATAAGATTTCATTTTTCTGCATTCACTGCATTTCTTGGACACTTTTCAGTTTTTCAAGAGAATATCCTTTTTCTTTCCTTCTCCCAACTACCAGAAGAAGCCCTCCTACACTCTTTTGGCAGATTTAGCTTTTGCTTAATTATTCTGCAGATGAATTTGTTAGGTTTTAATTAAAGCATCTGTGGGAATGTGTCTTTAGACTCATTCTGTTTTTTTACACTTGAAATACTGTCAGCACTGTGCTCTTCCCATCACCCAGGTTTTATGCTGGCACTAATCCTCTTACTGAATGGCAGTGGTTGTCACTTTCCCAATGAAATTGAGGGCAGTTTTGATTGAGCTCACCCAGATTAAGGCCAATTATTTGAAGTAAGTAATTTTCCTTGTGCTTGCACTAATTCTACTCAAACCCGTTGTAGAATCATAGAATGGCCTGGGTTGAAAAGGACCTTAAAGATCATCTGGTTTCAACCCCCTGCTGTGGCAGGTACCTTTGGATTGGTGAAGGGTATACAAAATACAGAGAAGATCACTTGTATATATGGAATATCACTTTGCCTCCAAAAAAGGTGTGGAGGGAGAGTAACTCCATGTAACTTATGGAAACCTGCTGTGAGATGTGTTCAGTTTTAGTGCATGTTGTGCTTCCCAGCAGGAGCTCCTGGATCTTGCTACGCTGTAGGTGGATTAACTGCCTATTTCTCTCAGTGGCTTTCTTTTCATGTGGTTATTTTTGTTTGGAAATGTATTCTAGATCATTATTTTTCTTCTGTAGAGGTATAAATAAATCTTGAGTTTGGCTGAAATCATTTTGTTTGTTTTCTTAACAGGCAGTTATTCAGAATTGAAGGAGTTAAAAGCATTTTCTTTGGGCCAGACTTCATCACCATCACTAAGGTAAGCAGGAAGGAGGTTCACACGTGCTAAAACTTCATCTGAGAGTCAGCTGCTGAGTAGATGGCCACAGGAAAGACCCAGCCACACTGATCTGGGGATGCGTAGTGGGAAAGATCCAACCACTGATTTGGGGATGCATAGCAGAGGGACCAGAGGCGGTGGTCACAAGTAAGAATGCCAGGAATATTGAAATAAATAAATGTCAGTATCATAAAAATATCCTGAGTTGGAAGGAACCCACAAGGATCACTGAGCCCAACACCTGGCTCCACACAGGGCCACCCAAAATCGTACAATCACAGAATCATAAAGGTTGGAAAAGGCCAAATCCAACCCTAGCCCACCCCACTGTCCCCACTGACCACATCCCCACAGAGCACCTCCAGAGATGGTGACTCTCCCACCTCCCTGTGCAGCTTTGCCAGTAGATTCAAACCCAATGGCTGAGAGCAGTGTCCCAATGCTTCCTGTGCTTGGGCTGTGCCCACTGCCCTGGAGGGCCTCAGGTGCAGAACCTTTCCCTCATCCACATGTTGGGTGTATGGCTGAGCACTGGAACAGGCCTCCCGGAGCAGCTGTAGGTTCCGTGCTTCCTGGAGGAAGCTGTGTGCAGCGTGTTCTGGTTTCAAGCAGGCCCTGAGGCTGGGTGAGCTCCTGGTGCTGGGGGTGGTGCAGTGTTTACTGAAGGCACAGAGCTCATGGCAGCAGAGATAAGGTGATGCATGGTAGCAGTGGTGACAGTCCTGCCGTGTGACAAGCACAGGGCAATGCAGTGAATTATGCTTTGGCTCAGGATCAAATAGAGCCATGACAAACTTGAGTCAGATACGCTTGGTTAAAAAAAAGTGCCCAGTAATGTATTTCAGAAACTCTACTTTTCATTTTTTACCTTATATTTAATAGATTTGGCTTGCAAGTGAGGAAACCTGTCTGTTGACTGCTTTATGTTGAGACTTCTGAAACATTTTTGGCGAAACTACAAAATAAATTCATGCATGAAACCTAAGAATCTCTGTGATATTATTAACATAACAGGGATCCCTATATAATTTACCATTTTTAGGAGGCAGATGCTCTGTTTATTTACTTTTCTTCTGATTCTTGTAGGAGAGTGAAGACCTGGATTGGAACTTGCTGAAACCAGATATTTATGCAACTATAATGGATTTCTTTGCCTCGGGTTTACCTGTACTTACTGAAGAGGCACCTAGCACAGATACAGGTAAGTCAAACTCTCCAGGAAGAGTATCTGCATTCAGATCCTTGTGATATCCAGAAGGGCCTCCATTTGCCTCCCAGTAAAGCACACAACAGAATTTAAAGTGAAAGCTGCTCAAACTGACACAGCAAAGAATGTGCAGAACATATGTTCTACTGGAAGAAGTGCTGAACTGCCTGAAAGAGTTGTTTAACCCAACAAACAAAGCCTGAGTTTCATCTGCAGGAAGATGAGGAGTGTTCTTTCACAGGAGCTGTGCTGAACTGCATGTTTTGGCAGCGTGGACCACTGTTCCATTGCAGTTTGTGTGCATGAAGTATTTTTGCTGTGCTTAGAAAGCTCCTGGGTGCTGCTGCACATCCTTTTTGTGTGGGCACCTACAAAAGTGCCATTGCCCTTCTCAAATCAAAAAGGAGTGTCCAGGCTTAACATTTTGTTAATGATTGGTTTTGTTAGTGATAAGTTTTACATGAATAAGAAGTGGTAAGAAGTCCTTTCCAAAATGTAATAGAAAATAACTGAGACTAACTTCCAATTTAAGCTAAGAATAGTATTTTGCTTTATATTTTTATATTTGCAGCTTACCAGCTTGTACAGTTTTTCCTCCCACAATGTTTCAAGGCAGAAGATGACTAATTCCTCTCCACTCTATTATGTCTAGCCCTCCTTCCAAGCACGCTGCCTTAACCCATGATCTAACCTGTGAATGGTGGTTGTTGCTTCCTTTCCTTTCCCTGTTTTCTGTGCTCTTTCTCTGTTATATTGCTGTTGTCAGTTAAGGCCATTCCCCTGTACTCAAGGGAAAACTGTGAATCAATGTATAATGCCTGTGAACATTTAGGCTGTGCATGTGGGGAATGCAGGAGAGGGTACATGCTGTGAATCAGGCCTTCCCCTGTTGGTTTCTGGCATCTCAGCAATGTTTGTGTGCTATTTCACATATATACATGGATATATAGTGATGGTCCTCCTAACAGGTTTCTCTCCATGTTCTGATTTGCATGTTTTTCTTTTCCAAAGCTCAGTCAGAAGAAGATGATGAAGTTGTATTAATGATTAAAGAACTGCTGGATACAAGAATAAGGTAAACCAGGCACATTGCTGCTAGTTGTGTGTGCTGTTTCCTCTGATTGAACACTTTCTATCTATTTTTTTCTGTTTAAGCAAATTATGTGCTGAACAGAGTCCATGTTACGGAGTGATTTTAGAGTAGTGCAGTCTTATGCAGTCTTACCCTCTGGAGATCACTTAAGCAGGTGGACCATTGTGTTTAACCCAATTACTTCTAAATAATGAAAACAACACAAATGATCGTTGCTTTCCTAGCAACATCTTTATTTTTCCCTCTGTTACCTTGACATCTGTTTTTATTATACTTGTTTTACCTTCCCAAGAACTCCAAAGTATTCTTGTGTCATACTCTAAAAGAAGTTTACCATCAGATCTCCCTCACTGTCTGGGCTTCAGTGGATTTTGTCCTTACATCTGCTGCAGTTTAATTGGTATTTTAACTCAGTTTTAATTTAGAGCCTGGTTGTAACTAATGAAGTCTCGAGAGTGCCTATGGAGCATGTTGTTTACCGGAAGTATATTTTTATATTCATTGATTGTCTTCCAAAATGAACTGAGAGGAATAAGCTACTCGACACTTGGGGAAAAACATTTGGCATGATTTTGAACGTGTCTCATATCTGATGGTGCCATCTTGCCCAGCTCAAATGACAGTGACAGAAGTCTTGGGTAGGTGAGAATTATGGAATTTAGTTTAATTTTTCCAGAAGATGCACAAGATGGAGGCCTTTTATTTTACTTTTTTAGGAGCAGCAATTTAAATGTAAAATCTGAAAATAATGTTTGGTGTTCTCAAGGATGACCTGGTGCACTGGTTAGTTTTCCTAGAAGGAAAGCAGGAAAAAAAGCAGAAATAAATTGAAACATTTTTTTCCCCAAGAATACTGCTGTATGAGCAAAGTGCTAAAATGTGTCACAGGTGGAAAGCAGCGTTGGGCAATCTGGCTGGACTGTGATCATTCAGAATCCCTATGGTTTGTTAGGCCTTGACTTCCCAGTAGCCCTTCTTCACATTCACACAATTTCAGACAAAATCACTGCCTCTCTCCACCTCTTCCTTTGTTTCTTTCCTCTGTTGATGAGGATATTAGCAGCAGAAGAGCTCAATTAAGAGCTTCAATCAGTCTTACCTTGTTATATAGCAGGATAGCTTACAAAAGCTATGTATAAACGAGTGGCACACATGGAGTGTTAATGTCTGATCCATCAAAAATACGTGCAAAGAAATTGTAGGATGGTGCAGGATGGAAGGAATGGGGACCTGAATGGCTCTGTAGAGCATTTTATAAAGTTAATCTAAAATGGAATCCTTGGTCACGTCCTGTGGCTTTCTGGAATGGAGATAATTAGCTGTTAGGAGTTGTTAATAAATGTATCTGATTCATAAATGATTCTGTTAGGAGTGTAGTTCTCAAAAGAGTTATTTTGGAAATCAGTATAAAGAGCTTCTTTTGGAGTGAGGGAATGGTTGGAGCTCGGTCTGGAAGAATGTTGCTATGGGGATGCAGTGACAGGGCCGGGCATTTGGTGCTTGCACAAGGAGAGCAGGCTGCAGAAATCCCACTGGTACCAGGCTGTCATCTCACCAGGTGCTTTCTTCACCCATTTGCAGATTTTTGTGCATCCTGCGGTAAACATTCATCTATTATATAATGGAAGACACCTCGGTTTTGGTGCATAAGTTGGGATGAGCATCTTTATGTGCCTTGGGGCAAACCAGTTTCTTTGCTGGCTTGATTGAGCTCTGCTCTGAGGTGTTTACCTTTGCCCTTAGAATGCCAAAGATTCTTTCTACGTTACTGGATTCACTGCAAGTATATTTTGCAGTGTGGTGAATGTGAGAGTCCAACAAAATATGAACTACTGGAAATTTGAACCAGAAAGAGAAGAAGAGCTTTAATTAATATGGCAGGCCAGTTCTTTGTGTACATTAAATTGAACTCTTCTAAAGCTTTCTATAATGGAATGGGTTTCAGCTGTGCTTACTGTGAATTGAGTATCGTTTTCTATCAGGCCAACAGTGCAAGAAGACGGTGGTGATGTTATTTACAAAGGCTTTGAGGATGGCATTGTGCAGCTGAAGTTGCAGGGTTCATGCACCAGCTGTCCCAGTTCCATCATCACCCTGAAGAACGGGATACAGAACATGCTCCAGTTCTACATCCCTGAAGTGGAAGGTGTGGAACAGGTGGGTTGGTGTGAGATAATAGAAATCTTCATTTAAATGGGGGGAATAAAGGGTCCTTCTCCCTTCCCTGCATACACAGGTTGGCACTTGAAGCCAAAGTGTAAGATAAACAGATGCTTTTAGTGGTAATGTGGGACAAAACTTGTCCCTTAAATGAAGATTATTTTGCTTTCTCATCAAAATTTGGTACAGAATCACAGAACCATATGGGTTGGAAGGGACTTTTGGTACTCTTCTATTCCACCCCCTTCTAGAGCAGCTTTCTTAGAGTAGGTACTCAGCACTGATTGTTCTTGTGGCATTAGTAGTCAGATGACCAGCTTCTATTATTTCAGCCACATTATCTCATGGCATTTCTGATTGAAAGCTTTTCTTATGTTTTCCATGTGATGACTGTCGTCATCAGTGGCATAGAATAGTTGTTCTCCTTTGGTCTGGCGAGGATGTAATGCAATAAATTCTCCAGGCAGTGTGATGGGACTAAGAGCTTCACCTGTTTACCTGAACTACTTCTGGATTTGTTTCAGGTTGTTGATGATGATGATGATGTGGAGAAGGAAGCAAATTCTACGTGAGCTTACATCATCCATGGCCAAATCAGTATTTATTTCTTGTATGTAAATCATTCTCGTTCTGTGGAACAACCAAATCTGCCTTTCTCATCAGAAAAAGTCTGACACTTCCCTCCTCCGTGTCAGCAGCGTATTCACTAATTTATTAAATGCTCTCTATTCAAAAAAAGAATCTTTTTGTTGTTTGCATCTCCTTTATACTGTGTCTTATGGAATTTATGGGCTTCTAAAAACAGTGGGGTGTCTCTGCAATGTTCTTTCATGTAAAAAAAATTAAGGAAACGAAAAAAGGGGGGGAGGGGAGAGAAATAGAGAGAAATACAAAGTTTCTTAACTTTTTTTGCAATAGAAAAATTATTTTTTAATAATTTTTATCAAGTCTTCTTGTGAAAGTTGAAGGACTGTGCCATGGCTCTCAAAATGGGAGATTCGGGAATGTTAATTTGATCAAGTTTGGTCTAAAAAGCTTTGGATTTTTGCCAGATTTGTGTGAAAAGTAACCCATAATTTCAGCTCTTTGTTTTAGAAGGTGTAATAACGTTGCCATCAGTTACGAAAGTTACCTACGTGCTCAGTGCCACCACAGAAATATCAGCAACAGAAACAAAAAAGGAAGTGAGTTGTCTGCTTTAAAAACCATGTATTTTTAAATAAATATTAAAAGATGATCCTTATCAGCTTTAGTAAGTAGACAGACTAATTAGCTTATTTAGAATAAAATTGCTCACCTACCATTAGTAGTCTGTTTAAACCTGCCCAAGATGATTTCTCAATACAACAGTCCAAGATGAACGCACAGTGCTTAGGGGCACAAATTGCATTTGTAGGATAGGAAAAAGCAAATGAATGTGTTTACCTATGGCATATCCTGTTTGCTCCTCCTGCTGTGCCAAAGAGTGCAGTGTGTGTGTACCTTGGCAGAGCGAGGGGAAGACGTGGCAGAGCAGAACGTGTGCCCATTTTAGAGACTAAGGGAAGAGAAATATTTATTGTTCCAAAGCTGAAATACGTAAAGCAGGCTTTGCAAGTACTTGTGTTTATTTCTTGTGCACGTAGAACTTAATTCCTTCCTGTAGTCTGGCTTTAGCAGATGGCTTGGCTAATGGAGACAGTATTTCTTCTTCATGCTGCCATGGTTTGTGGTCATTATTTGGCTTATTGTAGTAGTAGTAGTAGTAGTCCCTATGTAAGGGGCTGACAGCCTCTGTATGCTTCTTCCTCCCCTCTTTGCTAGTGTAATTCCACTGAGTCGTTATGTGGGATCTATTAAGTCTGTGGAGAATCCCTTATAGCACACACATCAGCATGTGGCAGCCATCAACTTCGTCTCACTCTTTGGAAATTAGAAAACAAACATTTGAGCAGAATGTTCCTGTAGCTTTCACATGGTGTAATAACCCACTGTCATTTAAATTACCCACTCAGGATTTGGAAGTTGATTTTAAATCACTGTGTTTTCTTTCTCCCTGTTACAAAGCACGCGGTGATGTGTAATGTTTCTCATTTCTCAAAACCATTTTAGGCCTCATCTGTCAATTCAATGCACTCCATACACCAAAACTCATGTAGATAATTGTTTCATATGTTAAATAAAATGTAGCTCTTCAGATTTGCTCTTTGTTTTTCAGTGAAGCAGTAATGGAAGGCCACAGTGAGGTCTCTGCAGAGCCTAGCTCAGCCCTTCTTTGTAGGAGAAGGGATTATGGCAGTGTCTGTTCATTGATTGGCCTGGGAGCAGAGTGCTACATGATGTCCTCTGTGCTTTTTTGGAAGAGGGATCAACAAGGTGGTTTTGAACCAAGAACTGCAGCCAGTCATTACACTGAAAATAGCAGTGAGTGCACATTCTGGTGGGGTTTTTTTTGTTTTGTTTTTGTTTTTTAAGAAATGAAAAAGTATGTTGGTGTTCTTGCTGGCAAGACTACAGCGTGCCATTCAGCCATTGTCAGTGCTTCCAGGTGAGGAAAGCTTGGAGAAGGCTCTGGGGAGACCTCACTGTGGCCTTCCAGAACTTGAAGGGAGAGTATAAACAGGAGCAGGAACGGCTGTTTTCGAGGGTGGATGGTGATAAGACCAGGGGAATGGTTTTAAACTGAGACAGGGGAGGTTTAGGTTGGATGTTAGGAGGAAGTTTTTCACGCAGTGGGTGGTGAGGCACTGGAACAGGTTGCCCAAGGAGGCTGTGGATGCCCCATCCCTGGTGGCATTCAAGGATTTACATATGGATTTTAGGTTCTTTTATGGGCTCTACTGCAGTGTCAATATAAAGATAATCGAACCTTTTTCTTACAGAGAGACTTTGCTCTCTCTGTAGCCTCAGGCTTTCACTATTTAGTTATTATTTCCAAACATCATTTGGTAGTGGCAGAACCCAACGCCCTGTGGTACTGACGTGCCTGTCCGCTCGGTCACACCCCGACTTTCATCTCTCAGTCCCTTTATTCCCATCTCAGTAGGCACTGTGATAGAACCGGGAAGAAGCAACAGCAGCCGGGCCACGTTGGCTGTGCTGAGTCATGCGGTTCCCGTTCCGCCGCCGGATCCTCTCCAGCAGTTCGGGAGGGGCTCCCCGTGCCGTACCCCCACCTTACGGCCGTACCGGTACTCCATGCCCGCTCACTGTGCCACGTCCCAGGGCTGGGCGGGGCGGGGCGGAGCGAGCGGCGCGGTCCAGTGACAACGCGGGATGTGCGCATGCGCTCTGCGCGCCCGCGGTGGCGGGGGGCGGGCGGGGCGGCCCCGGCTGAGCAGAGAGCGGCAGCACGGATCGGAGTAGCGCGCAGCATGTGCGGTAAGGATCGGGGCCTGAGGGGCTGGGATCTACCCCTGTCCATACGGGGGTGAGGCTGCTGCCCCTGAGGTGGGGCTGACGAGGGGCCCCGTGTCCTTCTGGAGGGAGTGTCAGCGCCTCTCGGGGGCGGCTCAGCCGAAAACGCGGTGCGTGAAAGGCCTCAGTGCGGGGGAGCCCGGCGGCCGCGGGGCAGCGCGGAGAGATGCGGTGTCACAACGTAGGACACGGCACTGCCTGGCCCCGTGTGCGCTGCGGGCGGACAGGTCAACCCGCGGGGCTGTGTGTGTCCAGGA